CACATCGGGTTTCCAAGGAGCACCTGGTGGATTCAAACTAGCGACCTTTTGGTTAGCAGCCATAGCTCTTAACCACTATGCTGAACACCACTAGGACCTAAAATTTCTCCCATAAAGTACTTCCCCAGTGATCAATAAAGAATAAAGTCTCAATGAAAAGCAGAGTTGGGCTGCCTGGGTGAGTACCCTGACTTCAACCCCCACACCTCTCCCCCTTACTCACCTTGCTCCAATCACACTGGCTTCTTTGCCACTCTTCAAACACATCCTAAGCTTCTGCCTTAAAGTCTTTGTATTGACTTTCTGCCTGAAACACTCTTTTCCATCATATGTACATACTTCCTCAAACTTCAAGTCAACACAAATGTCAACTTCTCAGTGAGGCCTACCCTGACCACTGTATTTAAAAGAAAAAATCAATGTGCAACAACACAACATCCCCAACTCCCTTTATTTTATTCTTTCTTTTTTTATTGTACTTTTCATCTTCAAGAAACTTTATAATTTATTTATTATGCTTATTGTTTATTACTGGTCTTTCCCATATGCAATGTAAGCTCCACAAGAGCGAGTATCTTTGTTTAATTTATTGATTGGTATATCTCAAGTTCCTGAAACAGTGTCTCATACACAAGAGAACTTCAATAAATATTTAATAAATTGAACTGAATTGAATTAAACTTATCCCACACTCAACTTTACCTACTTTGAAACAATGGTCCATACATTAGACTATGCCATTTTAAGTGTCCTTGTCATTGTTTGGAGCCCTGGTGGCGCAGTGGTTAAGAACTACAGCGAGCTATGGCTGCTAACCAAAAGGTTAGCAGTTTGAATCCACCAACCGCTCCTTGGAAACCCTACGGGGCAGTTCTACTCTGTCCTATAGGGTCGCTATGAGTTGGGATTGACTCGACAGCAACAGGTTGGGTTTTCTGGTTTGTCATTGTCCAGAGGTGGGACCAAGAAAGCCTGACAGAGGTGGAAATAGCGTGAGGTGACATGAAACTAAAGAGACCATATATATGTCTTAGGCTGGATTCTCTAGAGGAGCAAAGCCAGTGAAGCATACATGTATCAATACATAGAAAGAGATTTATTTCAAGGAAATGGCTCACAAAGTTGTGGAGGCTGGCAAATCCCAAATCCGTGAGTCAGGCGTCAGGCTGGAGGCTTCCCCTGACTCACGTGGTTGCAGTTGCTGATGAACCCAAAATTGGCAGGTCAGGCAGAAGGCTGCTGGCTCTCATCCCAAGAACCAAAGGTCAGAGGATGACAAGGTTGGATGTAGGATCAAGAGTAAGCCAACTTTGCCAGAATGCCCATATATATTGGATGCAGACCACACCCCCAAGGAAACGCCCTCTACATTAAATCACAAAATGGAGGATAATGTAATCCTGAGAATGATGGCCTAGCCAAGTTGATACATAACATTAACCACCACACCATAGTCTTAAGAAAAACTTCAAGCTTTTAAAATGTCTGATTAATAAATTACCAGTATATCACATGCTAAATCACAGATCCATTCCCATAATTATAACGCCCAAGGCCCAGGAAGTAGCTCTTTTAAGAAATATTCTGTAGTCCTTTAGAACTAGAAATGGCCTAAGATATCAATTATTTCTTTCACAAATGAAGAAATAAAATGTGAAAGTTTCAAGTAGATTTTCTATGATGAAATAACTAATTAGAAGAAAGCTAAGGCCCAGTGGCATCTGATACAACTAACTCTCCTATGAACAGATGATAGATTTTCCTCATGTATAAACAACGTCTTCATTTGTCATACAGAAACGGTTCCTTGAAAGATTTGCTGAGGACTTCTCTTGGCTATGGAGTTTCTAGATGATGCAAATGGTTAACGCACATGGTTGCTAACCGAAAGGCTGGAGGTTCAAGTCCACCCACAGACACTTTGGAAGAAAGGCTTGGCAACCTACTTCCAAAAAATCAGCCCTTGAAAACCCTATGGAGTACAGTCCTATTCTGACACGTGTGGTGTCATACACGGGGTCGCCATGAGTCAGAACTGACTCATGGCAACCAGGTTTTCTTTTGTTGTTGTTCTCTTGGCTACAACAATCTATAACCACAATGATTACTTCACAGAGTTTATCAAACTGGAGTTTTATTCTTATTATGTGAATTTTTAAAGTCAGGTTTATTAAGGTATAATTTATGTATGATAAAATGTCAGGTGTCCACTTTTCGGGTATCCACTTCTATGAATTCTGACAAGCATATAAAACACTCTATGTGTGGGCATATGTGTGTGGATAGGCAGACAGACCGACAGATACAGATATACATATACAGATATGTCATATATATTCATGAAGCCACGCCCACAATCAAGACATAGTATTTTCCATCACCCCAAAAGGTTCCTTCAGCCCATCCCTACTCTGTCCCTGTATTTGCTGACTTTTCCAGGATGCATATAAATGAAACCACACATTATGTAGCCTTTTTCACTGGCTTCTTTCATTTAGCACAATGCACTGAAGATTCTTCTACACTGTTGTATACATTAGTAGTTCATTCCTTTTTATTGCTGATTATGGGGATACTGCAGTTTATACCTTCACCAGCTGATGGACATTTAGGTTCTGTCCAGATTTTGGCAATTAAGAAAAAAACTACTATAAATATTAGAGTGTAGGGTTTTCTTTTGTGCAAACATAAATCTTCTTAAGTAAACACCTCAGAGTGAACTGCTGGTTTATGAGGTAAGTATATGTTTAACTTTATAAGAAACTGCCAAACTGTTTTCCAGAGTTGCTGTACAATTTTCATCCCCATCAGCAATGACTAAGAGTTCTAGTTGTTTGAGATCTCTGCCAAAATTTACTATCATCAAGTTTTTTTTTTTTTAATATTAATAATTCTAATATGTATGTAATGATATCCCATTGTGGTATGAATTTGCATTTCTCTAATGACTAATGATGTTGACCATCTTTTCATATATCACATAAATCGTAAGAAATATCCTGACAATAAAAATTATAAAATTATTTTTCAATGAACTAAATTGGGAGGGGAGGGGTCAGCACAACGCCACCAAAGCAAGGGAAGACACTGAGAGGTACACAAGATTAAAAGGCAATGACAGTAAATACTATAACATATGCACTCCTGCAACAAGAGTAACACAAATAATTTATGAGTGGATACATAGATATGTATGCAGAATAGGTGGGGGAGAGCGTATGGGAGTACAGTCATGTGCATACATACACAGGTTTGACTGTGGATATTTCCACACACATATGTGTATGTGCTGCATGTATATTCATATATACAATAGAGCACATGAGGAAACATAGCCATGGAAACCTCCTAGACATAACCAAACACCCCACGAGACTAAGTTACTGGGCTTGAAGGCTGGGGACCAGTCTCAGGGAATATCCAGGTCAACTGGCAGAACACAATTCATAAAGACAGTGTTCTACATCCTACTTAGATGAGTAGCAACTGGGGTCTTAAAAGCTTGTGAATGGCCATCTAAGATACAACTATTGGTGTCTCTCCATCCAGAACAAAGAAGAGTGAAGAAAACAAAAGACTCAAGGAAGCAACTAGTCCAAAGGACTAACAGATCACAAAACCACAGCCTCCACTAGTCTGAGACCAGAAGACCTAGATGGTGCCAGGCTATCACAACTGACAGCTATGACCAGGATCACAACAGAAGTTCCTAGTTAGAGCGGGAAAAAAATGTAGAACAAAATTCATATTCACAAAAAAGACCAGACTTACTGGTCTGAGAGAGACTGGAGGAAGCCCTGAGACCATGGTCCTTAAGACACTCTTTTAACTTGGAACTGAAGCCACTCCCAGAGATCACCTTACAGCCGAGTAATAGACAGGACTATAAAATAAATAGTAACACACGTGAGGAAAGTGCCCCTTAGAACAATCAACTATATGAGACCGAAAGAGCAACACGCGACCAAAAGCAAAGATGAGAAAGCAGGAAGAGGCAGGAAAACCAGACAAATGGAAATGGGGAACTCAGGGTGACAATGGGAAGAGTGCTGACACATTGTAGGGATTGCAACCAATGTCACAGAACAATTTGTGTATAAATTATTGAATGGGAAACCAATTTGCTCTGTAAACCTTCACTTAAAGCACAATAAAAATAAATAAACTGATGAGGGAAGGGGAGCTGTAGTAAAATACGGCATAAAATATTTTAAACTGTTAAGTATCCATCCTCAGGCTGTTGTCAGGATGTATAAGATAAAAGATATGATAATGTTTTTAAATACGTGAAGTACTATCACAAAGCTAAAGAATTATTACTGCTACCAAATACTACAGTTAGAAAGATACAAAACTTCCAGGGACCTCACCAGATGAGAGAGGAATAAAGCATTTTAGCCTGCCCTGCCCTATCAACACTGTCTCTGTCTACAATTCTGGAGTTGTCCTGAATTAAGCTAGTTTTCAGTGTTGAAGACAAAGTTGAGTTTTCAAGCATAAAATGTCATTTGCTTTTCATAGCCAACTGGACAATGAGTTTAGCATTCCAGGAAAGGCAAGGGATAGATTTATCATTTTAGAATGAGACGCTGGCCAATTCCTGACCTGGTTCTTCCTCTTGTACACACATAAACAAGTCTTTAGGTTTCCAAAAACTGAAAGAAAAGACTTTAACTTTCCATTTGTCTTTCAAAAGCCTCGATCTTTAAGTGATAAGTGAAGTGAATTTTACTTAACTAACAAGAATCTCTCAAGTGGAAGTTTCTCAAAAAACAAAAGCAAAATCACCTGTCCAAGATTCCTCAGAATCTGGATAGACAAGGATGACAATGACTAATCAAAAGCCACCTAGGGTGGTTCCATAGTTAAGTAAATCCTTGACGACCGTACTAACCAGCTAGACTACCAATGTGATAAACCAAAAGGCAAAAACATCAATGTTTTGGAGCACTGTTCTAGTCAAGAGTATTTATTGTTTTACACCTAAAAAGAAAGCTTACCTTTCTTTCTTTTAATAGCTTCTTATAGCCATTTGATCCAAGTGATAATAAAGTAATAAGGACATCCAAAGAAGGTGAAGCTGAAGCTCTTCCTGAAATAAGGATGAACAAATTACATTCAAAGGAGAAAAAAGCTTTGGAAATTAAGATTTATTAGAGTAGCCTACGTACAAACAAGTTTTTGTTAGTTTCTTTCTCTGAAGAGTTAACTGATTTATTTACCTGGATACATCTTGCTGATTTCCTGGATGAAGGAATCATTAAAGCCAGCAATTATAGCACCACCTACTGGAACCATAAAATTTTTGTCCAAGCTCTGAACAAAAGCATCTATTCTACCAACCCGAGACCCCTAGAATCAAAGAACATGTAGTATTACATATTAGTTGTTCGCAGAACATCAGACATACCATTTCTATTAGCAAATAAATTCTAGTAACACAATTCACAGAAAACAAACAGATTATTTTCTCTGTAATAGTGCCAATAAAATGCTTCTAAATATTAAACTCAGTTTTTAAATGGTGCCCCTTATATTTGGAACAGCACTTCGTAGTTTACAACCTACTTTCACACATAAATCATTTAATCCTCACAATAACCCTGTGAGGCAGGCAGGATTTCAGTATCAGTTCAGGTGGGAACTGTACTGAGACAGAGCTTTACACCTTAAAATGACATAAGAAACAGTGGATTCCTCTGTGCCTCCCTGATCCTCTACTTGACAATCAATGTCAACAGTAGAGCCTGTAACTATTAAGTAGTCTGAATAAACACTCTCAGTGAGTTCAACAGTAAACCCAAAACACCAAACCCACTGCCGTCGAGTTGATTCTGACTCATGGTGACCCCATGTTGAAGGGTGGCTACCCATTATCTAATGAATTCCAGCTACCCAAGCTGCCAATCAGTTAGTTATACATTTAAGTATCGTTAATGCTTGGACAATCTGCTACCTGCATGACCACTTTAAGCAACAAGCTCTGCTCCTACCACCACTCAGGTAACAAAACAGAAAAGCCAAATTTTATTCTTAACATAAACTGATGGAAATTCTATTTGTATACTCTTGGCACATCCAAAAGCAACGTTTCTGCATAACTCATGTTCCCTAATCTTTGATGATCTCATTCCATTGCAAATGAACTTCAAATGAAAATCTAACATTCTGGTAAAAAATTGAATACTTACCTACTAGAAATGTAAAACTAAATTCTGGTCCCCATCCAACACAGTATATGACCTTCTGTCTAATGTGCTTCAATTTTCTCCTCTTTTAAAAATAAAGATACTATCTAAATTCCAACTAAGATAGTTTTTTTTTTCCTTTATCTGCAGCCACAGAGTTTCAATCTGTATTCACAATCTACATTTCTATTAATATTATAACTACATTTGACCTTCATCATCACACCTTCTCTCCACATCCATATCTCAGGAAGAACAGAAGAAGCAGATAGCTGGTCTAATCTAAGAGACCAGATCCAGGCAGCAGGTAGAAGCAGCAAAAGCAGGGAAAAGGAAACGACTTCTCAGGAGGCTATCACATCATTGTTTCAATCTTAACCTTCCCCTCTTACTCTTTCTAATTTCCTAATAAACTATGATCAGAGAAAATCCCACCATATCACATGAAAACATAGAGAAGCATATAAGACTAATGGAATAAATAACTGAAAACACGCAAAATAGCAGTATTTAAAGTGGAACAGTCAGAGCTGACTTTTTATTGCCATTTAAATACTGTCCACAGCTTCCTGAGAGAAACATGAGCCTGAACTGGGAATAGGAGCACTAAGAGAAAAAAACAGTACAACAGGCATTGTCAGAACCCCTTCATCACTAAAATACAGAAAACATTCAAAGGGTAGCACACCCTGTAGTGAGGTAACAAACACGTTGGATCCAACCTCAGGAATGGTTCGTAGACCTCATTCCACACACTAAAGTCAGAGGCTACTCAATGAGGAGAAAAACCACCGCCACGACACACACACACACACACACACACAAAATACCACTAGAAAGATGGAAGAGCTTACACAGAATAGTAAAGGGCTGCCATTTGTCAGTTCATTCATTTGACCATTTGTTCATAGAACAAATATTTGAGCGCCTATAAGCTGCCATTGTTCCAGGCTCTGGGGATAGCAGCAGTGCACAAAACAGGTAATTAACTGTTCATGTAACTACTACCAGAATTTACTGAGTGCTGTGTCAGACACTGTTATAAAGCACCTTACATTTGTAACTCATTTAACCCCGACAACAAAAGGAGGTAGATGCTACTATAATACCTATTTTACAGATGAGAAAAGTAAATGAAATGAAAAGAACCTGCCCAAGATCAAACAGGTAGTTAACAGCACAGCTGGGTCACCCAGGCAATTAATGACAAGGATTAGAATCTAGGTAATCTGGAAGAAGAGTCCAAGTTTAAAACCTAAAATATTGCTCCTAAGGCACTTCCATTCTTCCATCTTAAAAGAAAAAAAACCAGTTGCTATCGAGTCAACTCCAACTCATGGCAACTCTACGTGTGTCAGAGTAGAACAGTGCTCCATAGTTTTCAATGGCTGATTTTTTCAGAAGTAGATCAGCAGGCCTTTCTTCTGAGGCATCTCTGGGTGGACTCGAACCTCCAACCTTCCAGTTAGCAGCCAAGAGCATTAACCATTCATACCATCCAGCTACTTAGGCCTTGCAGTCCCTCAATACTCATTTTCTCATATCTCACATCTAATCCACGGGCATACCCTGTAAACGTCCGTCTCAAAATACATGTGAACCCAATCACTTCTCACCACCTTCATGGCCACCTCCCTGGCCCAAACCACCAACATATTTCACCTGGGTTACTACAACAGCCTTCCCTGCTGCCTCGCTACAGTCCATTCCCCACATAGTAGCTAGAATGATGGTTTAAAAATGTAAATCACACATCACTCTCCTGCTTAAAGCCCTCCAATGGCTGATGGCCATACCAAGAATCAAATCCCAAATCCTTAACATACTTCAAATCTCTGACCTGATTCACTACCACTGTTCCCCTCATTCACCCTGATCCAACCATACTGGCCTCCTTGCTATTCCTCACATGCCAAGCACACTTCTCAGAGTCTAGGTACTTGCCATTACCGTCTGTCTGAAATCTCTCTCCACAGAGCCACATGGCTCACTCTATCACATCATTCAGGGCTCTGCTCAAATGTTACTTCCTAGAGAGGCCTTCCCAGATCACTCCATGTGGTCTGACCCCCATCCCCACCCCTAATTCCACAGCATTTTTCAAGATCTGGCACACTCATTTACTGTCTGCTTACCCACAAAAACAGTATGCTCCATGAGGGTACGGATTCTCTTTCATCCACTACTACATCCTCGATGCCTACCCTGGTGCCTGGCATATTAAGTGAAAACCCAGTAGATATTTGTTGAATGAACCAACGATTAGGTCTGTGAATAAATAGTAGTAACACCTACTTCTCTCAAATTTCTTAAAAGTGTAGCTGCTGCTTCCACACTTTTGGGTCTTTACAATCCACTGACTCTAAAATAATTAATCATATATATTTTCGTGACTCTACTATCTCCCCCTTCCCATTAATCTTTCCTAATCTCCATATTCCATGAGTATCCTAAATTAGTCATTTTTGTATATAAGCAGAAGTATGAGTTCTGCAAAGCTAGCTTCCTGGGGACTATATAGTGTGTATCAGAATATTCTATATGCTCAGCATTAAGTGAACCTGGGGCATATCCCTTAAAAAAAGAATCCTGAAACATTTTAGTTATAGCCCTTCCTTCACTGGTTGCTGGATTACTGCAATACTATTTTCTCATGAAAGAATTTGTGATTTTAGTACTTTGTTTTTTAAAAGGAAAATATAGGGCTTTGGAGTCCCACTAAACAAGATGGACCATTTTGTAGTTATGGGGCCTTGAGCAAATCACTTCACCCCACCAGTTTCTGTTTCTTCATGTTAGAATGGGTACATGCTTAAGATCATTAGCCATTAGAGAAATGCAAATAAAAACTACAATGAGATACCATCTCACCCCAACGAGGCTAGCATTAATCCAAAAAACACAAAATAATAAATGCTGGAGAGGTTGTGGAGAGACTGGAACACTTACACACTGTTGGTGGGAATGTAAAATGGT